ATGATCAAGCTGATTGCAGCAAAACTGTTTCAGAACAATCTCAGAATAATCATTTAATATTCTATTTAGAAGGCTGTACCTAATGTTCATCAATCAGGCTTTTCAGCCAACAAAAGGTTATTACACTACTAAACTGAATCTTGAGAGTTTGTTAGTTCTAACTTAAAATTTACAGTATGTCATTTTTGCCGCTAGGGGATCACTCATATCAAGACAAAAACAAAAATGATATAGTGCAAGACCATAGGAGTTGTTGTCTTCATTGTTAAACAACCACTATCTGACAACTATCTGCTAAAATCATGCATACAGACAAGGTAATCTATTAAAGTTGTATTCCTGTTATGTTTAGTCATGTTCACAACTTTCCTTCCTCACTCTCTGATGGATCTTGTGTTTACACAGAGGTTATAGCATCTAGAGCCAAGCAAAGACATACACCGTGAACTGAATAAAATGACATTTCTCTGGGTTTGAACATTGTTGGAAACATTTGGCATAATGGAAGTACACAACTCAACTACATATAGAACATAGAGCTAGAGTTTATAGACATTTTGAAGCAGAAATGTAACACTTTGTAGCTTTAAGTTATTTGCAAATGTTGAAAAAACTAAACCTAAAAAGATTTGATAAGGGATCCAGATTTGCTAAAATGCCCCACTTACATTAATTGTCTCTCTGACTTCCAAGGGTTTTCTCTTCCAGCTGTCAACAAGCAGATCAGTTACCGTCTCATTGTAGATTTCCATGTAAGAAACCCTGAGAAGGAACTCCTTCTTTGGACACTTTGGGCAAAAGAGTAGTCATTTATTAGAATAAACAATGATTACACGACAAACTGTGGCCTATATCAAACGTGATGCAATTCTTACATTTTTAATGGTTTGGAAGACATCTTCCACAGCCAGAGGTATGACCCCAGGAATACGGTCACTCCCCATCATGGTGAAAGTCTTTCCAGAAGATGTCTGCCCGTAAGCAAATATAGTTCCTGTGGATTAAACACAGAATATATATACACCACTCAGCTACAGTAAGTGTATGGAACATGTTACCAGAAGACAAGACTCTCTGTATTCAGTTTCCATTACATACCATTGTATCCTTCAACAGAGGAAACAACCAGAGGCTTTGCAATGTCCTGGTACAGCTGATTGGTTGTTTCTTCAGCAGTGAACACTCGGTCTGTCAACAACAGAGGAGAACAGTGAACAACAGTAGAAAAAACTAGTAGGTACACTTCTTAATCCTGTACATACTGCAAAACATACCGAAACTGAAGCTCTTGGTGGAATTTCCATCATCAATCTGATGAATTGATTTCTTATCAGCTTTCCAAAACAGCTGGACGGGCTCTGGATTCTCCGATGCAGCACTTTCTTCCCTGTAACAAGGACACACATTTGGGATATATTACCAGGAAACATTACCAGCTTTTTTCAACAACATCTTCAAGAGACAAAGTTGCCCTTTGAGAATGAATGTGGAAGCACAAGCTAAAGTGAAATCTAATATTTGGAGGAGACTCAAACATCCCTTTTGTTCACAGTATTATCCCCAATTATTATGTAGTGACAAGTATATGTGAATAATATCACAGATTAGGGTCTTGATTCTCATATGCATTGTGACAAGAGAGGACCCTCACTATCCCCTGTTCTCTGAATACAAACCTTTGCCATCGGGAAGAAGACACAGTGCCAAAGTGAAAATCAGTCAGTCATTCTTCCCAACATCCATCAAGCTGCTGAACTCAAATAATAAGTATGTGCAATAAATACACAGGCAGCTTAGCACTCAAATAGCTCTATTATATTAGTTAAGCCACCAGCACCATTGTCAAGTTAAAGTTTCAACTCGTCTTCCAGACAACTCTCGTAGTCGAGTCCAGGGGTTCCCAAACTTTTTCATGTCCAGAACCCCCACAAAAGATGCACAGTAGACCACAGACCCCCATTTGAAAGAATTTTATCTTAAAGAATCACCTCTGAATATATTTCTACATTTGAAGATGACTTCAGGGGAAACCCAATCGATAAATTGATAATAAAGTCTTCATAGTCCAACAGTGATCAGACTACATCACTATAAATGATACAATTACATTATTACATTACAATCAAACCAAAACGGCCAACCATATTTCTCTCCTTGTTCTTCCAACTTCCAAAAAATGTGATAAAAGTTTAAATACTCTATTCCTCCTTTTGCTGGGGACCCCCTACAACCCACTCATGGACCTCTGTCGGTCCCCGGACCCCAGTTTGAAACCCACTGGTCAAGTCTAGTCTTGTTGAAGCAACAAGTAACGTATAGATATGACAGCTAATACTATAAGAGCTATAGCTCCACAGCAACACTAACGTTAGCTTAACATTAGGTTAGTAAGCTACATAAATAAAGGAACGTTTCATTTGTATTTGTAAAACATAAACAAAGTTTACCGTTGACGCTAGATGAACAATTATCATTATTTACTGAAATTAAAACTAGTTGTTTAATTCTAAAATTTCGCTAACAACACATTATTAGCATCACTTTTAACAGTCGGCATTAGCATTAACGCTAACGTTAGGCTGGCTGTAACTGATGGGCTGTTGGCTCAAAACTTACCTCTCAATGAGCGGACGGACTCGAACACATACTTTAACAGCCGACTCTTCTGTCATTTTTTCTTTTTGATAGTCGGCCACCAAAGATAAAATTCGCAGGCTAACTAATACATCTTTCACAAATGATAACGATAATTACGCCTTAACTGTGAGCGCACTGAGTGACTCCCTTCGCTATGTTCAAATCTTTTGCACTTTGTTTTGATTGGTGGACGTCACAGGGCGGACAGAGCCATATGGGATGGCGGGGAAAAAAACGCTCGCGCTAGGCTGTAGTTGCAGTTGTGCTTTTTAAAAACATTTTTAAAAATGTTTAATAGCTCATATATGCAAAAATGGCTCCGAAGGCAACATTTGTTTGTTTTTACTTAAATTTCAGCAGAGAAAAATGTGGTCGCGCCCGACTGGTGACGTAAAATGCGACTGGCTTGAGTGGCGTCATCAACCAGCGACCAATACCGTATGGAAAACACATGAGAAAGTAGTGGATTTTGTCGTTTAGTAGAAGTTGAGCGTTTACAGTAGTTTAAAGAAACCTGGGCGCGGTATATTGACATTCAGTGTTAATATTTTCCTACTGCGGGAAGGCTAAAAGTATAGAAAACGTTTTTGGGGCGTTTGAAATGTCTCTGTTTCTGGTGAACAGGTAGGCAACGCTTATTCTCTACTAGCTAACATTCTCTTCTTACAGTCACGTTAATACATGACATTGTCAGTGTTTTTTAATTCGTGCAAAATATCAGATATCACAATCAATAGTACATTATTGATCCCCGGGGGGAAATGTTACAGTTGCTTAAGTTGCTAAACAAAGATAAATTATAAGAGAATAAGAAGCCAACAATGTCAAAATGTGTGCATTATAGCACAATATACACAGCAATAATATTTATAGAAAAATAAAAAAATAAGACATATTTATACTACAATATATAACAACGGTGTAATAATTAATAATAATGCTGTGTTAATGTGTGTTAATGCAATAATAATAGTAAACAATATAATTATATAGTTGTAACAGTGTAAAAAAAAAGTAAAATCACAGTCCCTGTAATATCCCACGTCATAACACTCAATTTACATTTACTAGCCTTGGGGTTTAAACACGAAAATCAGATTGCATTTAATTTTGTCATGTTGCTCGCAGATATCTTGGAGAGGAGGATGATGGGAGTGCCTCCAAAGAGTCTCGGTCCCAGGCGTTGCTGGCTAAACTGCAGCAGAAGGCAAAAGAGAAGCAGAAACAGAGTTTGACTGAACAGAGACAACACGTGCCTGAAGAAAAGTCAGAGTGGCAGGATGTCAAAAAGAAGAGAAAAGCCGACAAGGACCATAGTCAGGAACATCAACACCATAAAAAGAGGAAATCAGAACAGGACTCTGATGGCAATGATGAGGCTGTCGAAAAGAAAAAGAAAAAGAAAAAGAAGAAGGAGGATCAGTCAGGTGTGTGCTTGTTCAACATTATGACGATCAAGATCAGCAATCTCAATTAAAAGTTCAGTCTAGGCATGAAAAGTAACTAATTCTTGCTCTATTCACTGTACGTCTTTAATGGTTATATATGGCCCAACAGACTCCACTGACAAAACTGGTCATTTTATGTAGCAGATGATCAGCAGTATTATTGCTATTGCTCGCTAACAGGCTCCATAGACAAAGTAATTTTACTTTTTTACTTAATTCAAAGAGGACAGAAACAAAATAAAACTCACCAAAACCGTCTTTGATAGTCTTTCCACAGTTCCAACAATCACCAGCTCTGGTTTGGTTGAAATAAATCTTTAATTCACTGATGTAGATGATAAAAACAGCAGTTTCAGTCGCTCTACTCAGCTGCACATGGAGCAGACCGCCTATGGAAACAAACCACAGAGAG